ACACAAAATGTCTGGTGGAATAAAAGATGTCAAAAGAGATGGATGGTGACAGGTAAAGATTAGACTTCATGAAGATTTAAACTCGCGTTCTTTTGATAGACAATTTCTTTCTCCTGACTTGCCATCTTCCACTTCTCTGTATCACCACTCGCTGAGCACACTTTGAAACAGAGACATAAGGTGGACATAAGTCTGCCAATGCATGCTTACAGGAACCTTCTTAGAGATCAGAAGCAGCCCTGGGGCAACCATAAAGGTCAATGTAGAGAACCTAGATTTTGAGATCAAACAGATCTGGGTTCAACCATACGTACTGTTGCTCAATAAATCTATGACATAATGCACACATAATATACAGCAAACAATAAATTCATGTTTTATTACTTTAGACTTAATTTAAAACATAAAGGAAATGTCCTGAGCCCAATTATGAAAGAGCTCCTTACAAAGGAACATAAACTCCAGCCAATCAAATGTTAGTCCTTCTTCTCATGAATATCTAGAGCCATGTACTTGCCTAAAACTGCTGTTTGTACAAGAGAGATACTTTATGTGCCAATTTCTTAGACTTGTCTTCTTCCATAATATTCTTTGTAAAATGGTCTAAAAGGCAAGAGATTAATTAGAAAATCATAGAATTTGGGTCTTACCATTTTTATCTGCTCTTCTCAGTATCTGGAATGGGAAAAAGAAAAAAATAACTGTGTCACAATTTGTAAAAATTACTGCAGCAACTATTATATGCATAATTCACTTCTTATTGAAAAAAAAAACATTTCCAATTTTAAATAAAGGTTTTCCACTTGAGATCTTTATTTGTGATAACTCCAAACCCAAAACAACCCAAATGTACATTAACAGGTAAAAGGATAAACAAGTGATGTTATATCAATGCAGTGGCGTAGGACTGAGCAGTAAATATTGATACATATGCAATAACTTGGAAGGATCTTAAAATAATTACATTGAGTTTAAAAAAATCTAGATACAAAATAGCACCTAATGTGTGAATATCTTTTCTATAAAATTCTAGAAGATAGAAAATATAATCTTTAGTGACAGAAAATAAGAAAGTAAAGGTAGCCTAGGAACAAGAGAAAGATGAGGCTTCTTTCTACTCTGGTAAAAAGTTACAGTCTCAGAAAACCACACAGGCCGTCTACTCTGTCTTATAGGGTCACTATGAGACAAGTTGGCAGTGAATTTTTTGTTTTTGTTTATAAGTAACAAGTAGGGCAGGAAGGGATGGATTACCAAAAAAGGCATGAAGAATCTTTTGGCTATGATAGACGTATTTATGATCTTAATTGGCATAGTAGCTTTACAGATTACACTTATGTCAAAACTCTTCAAATTTATACTTGAAGTATGTGTAGTTTTGTGTGAGTCTCAATAAAACGAAGGAATGAAAAAACCAAAAAAGGGGGGAATGAAAATGAATAGAAATAGGCATCTAGAGGAGCTGATGCCAGGGGCTTAGGTGGAGAGAATGATGAGGCAATGAATGGACAAATGTGCTTTACACAGTTGATGTGTGTATGGATTGTGATAACAGTTGTAGGAGCCCCTAATAAAATGATTTTTAAAAATAAAAAAAGAAATGGGCATCTAAACTATATTTATTAACAGATGAGTTAATTATATTATCTCGGCCATATTCTGGTATATCTTTAGTAAATGTAAATTCTACCCATCCAATATCAATTACTCGGTAATAATTTTACATTTTCTTAGGAAATATCAACCTTTCTTCTAAGCTAAGTCCATGTGCAGTAGGCTTAGGCGGAGGAGTCAGGCCTGGTAAGCAGAGGGCCACATCCCCTGCCACAGTGGTCACTCAGGCAGGAGCATATGGGGACTAGGGAATGATAGGCCGAGACTGCTTTTGCAGGCTTTGGACATAGGATGGTCACAGGTAAGGAGCTGCTCAGTCATTTTGTTAGTATAGAGAACCTAGAAATAGCCAACACTCAGAGATTTAGAAAAAACAAACATGAAACTCACGACCATCTAGTCAATTCCAACTTATAGTGACCTTATAGGACAACCCTTTTCAGGAGTAGAAAGCCTCATCTTTCCCTCTTAGAGCAGCTGGTGGTTTCAAACTGTTGCCCTTATAGTTAGCAGCCCAATGTTTAATCACCACACCACCAGACACTTGATAATTGTTCCTTGAGCCTCCGAGGAAGACATTCTGACCAGGTAATTTCAGGTTTTTAGTTATAGAAGCTAAAAAAATAATCAGTTTTTAGATCTTAAACTTCTTTTTTGATGCTACCTGAAATCAAAGTAATGCTAACTGAGTCCTGGTGGCAACATGTGCTATGGTTGGGCTGCTAACTAAAAGGGTAGCAGTTTGAAACCACTGGCTACTCTTTGGATGAAAGATGAGGCTTTCTATTCCAGTAAAGAGCTACAGTTTCAGAAACCCATCAGGGCAGCTCTACTCTGGCTATAGGGTCACTCTGAGCCAGAATTAACTTAATGGTGGTAAGGTGTTTTGAGTTTGGTACTGTCAACTTACAGAAGAAAATCCAGATAACATAACACACAGCTATGTTATATGAGGGGGCTCAAAAAAGTTCATGGGGGGGAAAATCCCATTACCGTTTAGCTCCATTTTACCATAAACTTTTTCAGATCCCTTACAGGGATCTTTCTTGGTACCTGGTTGCTAATGGTAGGTTGGTGGTTCAAGCACATCTGATGGTTCAAATCCAACAGCTGCTCACTGGGAACAAACCAAGTCAAGGCAAACCAATTCATAGAAACCCAATATCGGGTTTTCAAGACTGACCCTTTCTAGGCGTAGTCTGCCTCATCTTTTCCCTAGGGAGCAGCTGGAAGCTTTGAACTATGAACCTTGAATTTAGCAACCCCAAACCTATCCCTCAATGTTGCCAGGGATACTTCCCTGAGTGAAAAGACTTGGCCATCTGCTCCTGTGAAAGATAACAGCCTAGAGAGTCCTCCAGGTTCATTCTCTACTCTTTCATGTAGGTCACTATCAGTAGAAATCCACTTGATAGCATGCAGCAACAACATGTGATTATAGAACTCCACACCGCAAAGTCACTCTACCACATGGCAAAGACACATTTTAATCATTTAGAAGGCATACTTGAGAATCACTCCCCCCACCCCAACTGGCGAAACTTGAAGTTATGCTTGAAAAAACAGCACTACTCCTATATATTTAGATCATCATTTCTGGGTGGCCAGCTTCAAGCATGAGCAATTATCCTTCCTCCCAACGTGGTCTGTTTGATTGCCTTCTACTGCAGGAAACACTATGCCCCTTTCCTTCTGTTGATCTCACACAAATGAACTGCAGCTCGATCTAGTCCTTACTATGATGTGCTTTATTTTCAAGATTAATAACATTACTCACATAATCTCATTTTAGGAACTCTTCCAGCAAATATGTGTCCTTTAAATAATTTTTTTCTTTTTACTAAAGGTGTGGAATTAATTCTGGAAAACTGCTTTCAATAAAAGGAGCTGTCATCGTTGCTGTTGAAAGAGACACACCTCTTTGTAAGACACAAAGGCAATTTCGAATGCAGCAGTTCTCAACCTGGGGGTTGCGACCTCTAACTACCCTTTCACGGGGCTTGCCCAATTCATAACAATAGCAAAATTACAGCTATAAAACAATTTTATGGTTGGGGGTCACCACAACATGAGGAACTGTATGAAAGGGTCCCGGCATGAGGAAGGTTGAGGACCACTGTTCTCATGCAATGTGGGGGATCCGTCTCACCATCACAATTGGCTTTCTTTTCCTGCTTTGGCATCGTGGCGCCAGGGCTGAGATTCAAAGCAATGCCCAAAGCAGCCTATTTCTTACCTCTGGAGCCCTTTAGGATTTTGTTTCATGCTCTACTGTGCCCTTTCCAGTTTAGTCCCTGGGGTGACTTCTGGAGAGGAATAACCCCACACCAAAGACCTGGCTCCTGAAACTGCTGACCTTCATTGCATAAAGAATGATCAGCAATAGCAGTCAGCCTCTTCCGGATGAAATCAAGAAGATGTTTTTGATATTAAGAAAGTTATTTGTAATTAATTGTGAAAACAATGGTCCCTGCTGCAAATTTGCCCCTGAACCACAGTTCAATGAAAAGCATACTGTAGATAAAACTTGAGTTTATTACATTGTTATGTAACCACCATAATCTGGGTCAGTTAATCTCAATGATGGCTAACATCAGACCGGTGGTAAGTGAATTTAAGTATTATGGTCAGACTAAAGCTTACGTGCACCCATTATGATGCTCTTGCTATAATTTAAGGATAATCAAATAGTTAATCTCACTGATGGCTAACATCAGACCGGTGGTAAATGAATTTAAGTATTATGGTCAGACTAAAGCTTACGTGCACCCATTATGATGCTCTTGCTATAATTTAAGGATAATCAAATCACATCTTTTATTTCAGAAAGAGATTATTGGATGCTCTGGCCTGAAATTCCTTACTCCTCAATTATTGTAGGTGTGAAAAGTGCAAATGACCTTACAGCCATAACAAACAAATGTAACACTAGTCATTCACCGAACTACTATTTGGTAAATGCCTCCCACGGCCTATTCAGTTTAGATGAGATGAGCTCATTATCGCCACTTCATGAATTTTGGAGACAAGTGGATTTAGAGTGGGGACTCCTTACCCACCCAGAACACGGATGACCACTTAGGAAAGATGGCCTGGCTGTGTGCAGGCAAGTAAGCACTGAAAGTTGGATAAGGAAAAGGGAATTCACACATAAATTTCCTTTTTTCAGTTTTGCCTAGAGTAGGCCATAGGCAAATAATGCTTTGCAATGTTATTGCAAATAGTGTTTCACATATGAAAATGGCAAAGTACCATGCCGTCGACACCAAATCAAATCTGACTCAGAGCAGCCCTTCAGAGGACAGAGAGACGGCCCGTAGGTCTCTACCTAGAGCTGTAATTTTTATAGGGCTGGAACACCACCTCTTTCTCAAGGAGCTGGTGGGTTCAAACCACCAACCTCTTGGTAAACAGGGGAGAGCTTTTTGCTGGTTTCTAAAACAAGTCGAGTGCCATTTCTCTTGCTGATTAGAGTAGACCCTATGGATAACTGCTAGTCTCCCAAATGGATTTTGTTGTTATTGGCTGTTGTGTTGACCCCTACTTACGCACAATGGAACAAAACACTATGCAGTCTGACATCACCCTGATGACTGGCTGAAGACTGAACCACTGTGATTCACAGGGGTTTTATTAGCTGATTTTCAGTGGTAGATTGCCAGGCCTTTCTTCTTAGTCCACCCTGGCCTCTGTATTTCACTGCTCAGCATCACAGCACCCTACAAGTCTTCCTTGGCTAGCAGGTGATGGTTGCACAGAAAGAGGCACATTGGCTAGAAATCAAACCCAGGTGGGCTGCATGGAAGAGGAGAATTCTGCCACTGACCATCCTTGAAATAATCAACCTTGCATGTGTCAGTAGGCAAGTGGGCAGTGTGGGGCTGGAACAGAATTCAGTCACAGAATGCTCATGTTGGAAACTGTTTTTCCTGTTATAAACTTCTACCCATCTCACCTCTCACACATAGTTTGGGACTTAAGTACCTTTGTGAGTAAAAGAGACCCACGTTCTCATGAAGTCCTTGACCATGCAGGCGTGTCGACTTGTGTCCAGGGTGTC